ATCAGAGGGTATATTAGACAACCGCTATCACAAAAGTCCTTTCTTTGTTAATTCCCAAATTGAAAAAAAATCCTTTAAACCTATGTTATTGTAAAAAAACAAACAAACAAAATACATATATACATACATATATATATATATCTAAAAAGAATAATCAGAACGGTGTGAGATTTGGAAAAACCTTTACACTTTTTAGAGAATGAATACCAGTCAGCTAAGTCAGAATTCTCTACCAAATTTGATGCAGAAGCATGAAGGACCACAAGGTTTCACCCATTTTAGTCATAACAGTCTGGGTTTTTCCTGGCTCCATGTGGCCTGCGTGAGGAGGTGCCTGTGCACACAACCACAATTGGCCCCACATGTAATTAATGCAAAAGGTGCTAGTTACTGCAGTTAAAAGACGTTGATGTCTTTTTCTGATATTCCTTTGAACATTTGATAAACAAAGATGTATTGTAAGCTTGAGTAAATGTAAGTAAATGCATATTCAAAAATATATTGTTAATGGCAGTCCTGACTATTTTCCCTCAGTGAAAGAGCAAAAACTCTTTAGAGGGTGTCAGGTTTTTCTAGCTGCATGGAGGAAAACACTGAGTGTAATGGGGCCAATACAGTGCGTGGCGATATTGTATTGATAAAGGGACACAAAATATTGATATTTTATTAAATAAATGAAAATACCCTGGGAATAAGATGAAGAAAAAGGGCCCATCTCATGCACCGCCATCCTGAGATCGTGTTAGCCAAGCAAACGTACATTAAGTCAGCGCAACCGGAAAACCATCCAACACTGGACACACTCAACTCAACAAAGCTACCTCCTAATTCAGAGCAAGCTAACAGCTCAGTCACACAAATAAAAATAGGACAGCAACCTTGCCTCTGATTGGTGTTTCTACTGAATCTTTTCACATTCTGAAAGACTGTGGTAACTAAATGCTCGCCCAGAGCTTGAGGGTGCTGCGCACTGACAACCACTTTTATCGCAAGGTGGCTGCACAGGTCACCTGGGCGGCAACCTTTCTGCAAACAGTCACAGTCTGACTTGGACCGACTGCAGTCACTCTGAGCGATTATAGAAGGTTTGCGAATACATGCGTTCTAATTTATAAATGCAGACGGATTGCCAACATGTTATGAGTCTTTGCGAACAAGCACAACTCGACTAAACCAGTTGCCAGCTGGTTGCGTTCTGGTTAGGTTCCTGAAGAACAGGAAGTTTACTGAGTGCAAATTTAATATTTACATGTGAACTTCTGTCCATGAAGACAGCAACAGATACGTGATATTTGATGATTTATGATTTATTATTAGAAACACATTGCATGTAATTGCTAACTAAGCCTATCCAATTGCAAACTGACTCGTATTAAGGCAACAGTAACACTGTGTTGGTGTGCTTGACAGTCTTATTTTGTAGCAAAAAATAACTCAAGCAAATAACTTTAGCTTATTGGACTAAAAATACTGACAAAGTTTAAATTTGAGGAGAATTTGCATTTGCAAAAATTTGATAAATTACAACATATTACTGCAATACTCAGCTTTTTTTAAGATGTCAAAAACTGCGATAATATTGTATGTTAGGCAGGTTACCAACCTACGCAGTGATCCGAGCAACTTTTAAACAAAGTGCATGGTGTAAGAATGTTGGATTTATAATTTAAGTGTCTTTAAACACATAAAACACATATGTGGGGGGGGGAAACAATCTTAAAATTGAAATGCTGAAGTCTGTGGCTCCTCTGGATTAAGGCCATGTCATGATAATGGTGTTAGAGCTGAATGCTGAACATGCCAGATGAGTTCGAGGAAGTTAATCCCAAAAACTGCACAAACAGCTTAATGCCAGAGAAATGGATCAATACAACGCTTTTCTGCCAACCGTGCTCGCTGCGCTATTTTAAAAACGAGTGCTGGACACAATAAGACGAACAGCACGGCAAACAGGCAAATACTCGTGAATCTTTTCTGTGGGGACTGTTTTTGGCGGTTATTTGAGGGGACTGCGTTGGGTTGTGTGGTGTTGCACAAGTGCTTGGGTTATTGCCTCCTTTAAGCTTAAATTACGTTACCAAACCAGAAAATAATCTTGCGCCGCTTGGCTACGTGGCCACAGCAAACATGAAAAATGCTCGGACCAAGTTGTCACTGTGTAGTAAATAAACATGTGTTGGGCTGCCTGTAATGTCACAACACTGCTGCAAAAACCACACAATGGTACATGAGCTGGACGTGTTACAACAATGACTCAAAGATGAGGAGATGTTCAGTGTGTTCAGCGTGAGACGATCCACTCACCATCAGAGACACTCTATATAATACAGACCGAGTGTCAGCATACTGAGAATAACTGCAGTAACCCAAGCTGAAGCCAACAGGTGTGTTTGAGGGAGTGGGTCCTGTGAGCTCTACAATGTGGGGAAATGTAAAGCTATCAGAACAGTAAATATAAAATATATAATATTGCCCTGGCTTTGAGTGCAGGTCGGTCTGTGTGATGACTGAAAAGCTCGGGAAGACTCCTGGAAACATTATAAATAATTAAAACTGACCACCATTACATTCTCTCTACCAGCTGTACCGTGTACAACTATCCGAACAACATTTGCCGGAGAAAACGTGGAAAATCTCTCCTCACGGGAGAAACGTGCACTTCTTTTATGCAGGCTTTGTTTATCTTTGTCTTATTATATTCTAAGGCTATCTGCTGCTGTTGACTACAAAACTACATTATTTTCCAAATGCCTATTGTTCCATTAACACAAGATTAAACCCGCGAAAGTCACCCCCAGGGCTCCTAACATTTGTTCGATTTGCTGCTGACACGTCACAGTATCCAGCCCACATTTGATTTCTAAGAAAAGGTCATGCCTAAGCACACCTGCACGCCCGTACCTGCAGGATTTATGAGGGAAAACACGCGGCCAAGTCAACCATATTTTCTCATTCAAGACTGTGAGCATTTAAAAAAAAATTTAAAAGCTCACATAAACAACTTCCTCCACACAACATTTCACTTTGTTATCACAAGCAGTCTTTTCTCCCCGCTTTTACACTTTTTGTGACAGCAGAAAGATCAAGACAATAAATAAAAAAATAAAAATAAGGAGGAACTGGCGATGATCCCAGCTGTTCACACAAGAGCAGCAAGGGAAGGAGACAGGGCGCAACAAGTTTCACCTCGTCTAACATCTCACAACTGACTGTGGCAACACTTGGGTACTGTTGCGTCCTCCAGTCAATCTTTAGAGGTCTAAAACATAAAAAGAGGCGATACTTGATTCAGTTTCCATCCCTTCTCGACCTCATATACTTGTTTTTAAGCCACATCTGAGGTGCTTTTGACACAAGGGGAAAAGTCACAGTAAACATCTGTGAATTGAAGTACGAGTCTGCAATATCCGGTTGGTATGCATGACTGGTGCCATCTGAAAAGATAGTGGAGCAACGTTTTACATGTCTAACTAAACTTGGAGGTTTCTAATGTGCAGCAGGAGTGAGACCTTTGAGATAAATTTAAAATGCACTAATCAACAAATCCATCCGTCTGCACACGTTTCACTTCCACTTTCGGTAGACTTTGAGCGGAAAGGAAATTGTACATTTATCAGTGCCTTTTCTATATGCGGCGGCATTGAAAAATGGATGCAAATATTTTACTTCTCAGCTAAATGGGCTGAAGGGCTTTTTCTGTCTCAAAATGTGCCTGTAGGAAAACGTTACTATACAGAAGTCTGTGCAGGTTACTCCTTCCTTTGTCATTTAAAATAAATAAATAAATAAATCACATTGAAGGCCTAAATTTTTAATACACACTGGAAAAAGCCTTATTGAGAAAGCCCTAACACTCCCATCTCCACTCCCTTTTAGAGCCACACATGGAGGGGAAAGTGATACTAAGCAATTGTGAAATAAAGTATGAGTCTGCAATATCCGGGTGACGCACTGAAGTGACTTGAGCCATCTTTAAAGATGGTGGAGTAACTTTGTGCATGTCTGACTACACTCAGGGGTTCCTAAATTGCAGCAGGAGCGAGCCTGAGACCTTTGAGACGAATCTGAAGTAGGACATTGCACTTTCCAAACACTGTCAACAAATCGTCTGGATGTTTCATTTCCACTTCTGGGCAGACAGGAAATTATATACTGTGGTTATACTGAAACACTGATGCAAAGATTAAGCATGCAGTCTACAGAAATCCCAGTGCTGGACTGCAAAAAAAGGGTCCTCATTTTCAGGTACTTGATATTACTTGGCAACTGTAGTAACTATTCATGTAAGAAACCTCTATAAAGAGCATATAAAGCATGCGGTGACTTCAATTAACCAACAGCAGGTCTAATTTCGGACTTTTGCAGGTATGTGTATACTCTGCGGCTGCTACTGCTGACACTTTATATGAACTCCCAGCGCTTTGAAATCAAGCCACAGCTTTTAAAATAAAAATATGACCGAAGACAAACCCAGCCCTGAACCTGCTGCCCCATCTGTCACTGTGTGTGCATTTCCTTTAATGAAGCTTCATTTGCTGCCTGCAAGCGCGCAGTCCTAATCCACAGCCATACGGTCCGTTTAAAACTGTGCACACACGCCAAACACAGCTGATAGCCTGGTCATCGGTGAAGTGCTGTGGGTCAGGCATGTATCGCTCAGCGTCTGTGGATGAATTAAGGGAAATCCTGCTAAGCATCGGAGCCTAATGCCTCCTGTCTGAGAACCAGTCCGTTGTTCTGAAAGGGGAAGTTAACGGTACACCGAGGATGTAACACCGTCATGCTCGCATTTACCCCTCCTTTTACTTTAACGCCAACTTAACCCTACCTAGGTTTGAGTTTACCTGATTTTTTTTTTTTAATTCAACAGTTTTGCCTTCGAGGAGCAAAGTCTAACACTCAGAGCAAGCTTCAATGAATGGCATACGGCGGACAGCGAAGGTGACTAACAGAAAGGAAAGAAAGAGTGCGAATAAAGTAGTATTTTCTTTGTGTTTTACCTTGATGCTCGCGGAGAAACACGGCAACCGTCGGCTGGACACCACGCTACAAGCAGCGGTACGGGCTCAAAGAAAGGGAACAGCGATTTGCTGCCGCTGTTTCCGGGTTAGCTATCCAGCGTCAAACGATAGGGGAGTTCGGTTTGTCCCACCTCTGAGCGCGGATGGGGGTGAGTTGCACACCTTCCTCCCCCTCCAGAACTGAAAATAGATGCGCCCGGTCAGCGGACACGCGCGATGCTGTGTCAACGGTCACCTCCACTTATCACTACTAAAATAGATTTAATGGAACCCACCGCCGCGTAAGTTAGGCCTTATTAGACAGTAGACAGTGTTTGCACTTAGTTCTTCAATCGGACATCAAAGCTGAAGCCTTTCTACCGACGTGCCCTTGGGCAATAAACTAGCATAGCGCCTCTAGGTGACGCTGTTCTGTTATTTCGCCCCAGAATCTATCAGCGAGTTTTAATCCTCGATTTCCATGCATGTCATTGAAATTATTCGTGCTAATAATGACGCTGACTACTTTAATTCACAAAATATGGTGAATATTGTCTGTGGTCTTTTCCTTCTGTCTGGCAGTTTCGTCTTCAACATCCTTTTCCCGGTATATCCACCGTCCCTCCTCTGCACGTCTCTCTAACTTTGTCTCCAAGCTCAGCCTGAGCTGTCCCTCTGACAGGGGCGCGTCCAGATTTTGTTTTATAGGGGTGGCCATATGCTGGCCACTAAGAATATTGGGGTGGCACACCAAAAACAGATTTTCCAGTTGTATTATGCTGTTGCCAAATATAGGTTACTTAAAAAAAGTTTATATCACTGAAAATGGGTACATATGAAAACCAAATAAGATTTTCAAATCTATAATAATCTGTTTTAAGTAGGAATAAACAAGTTAATGTTTTAACTCATTGTAGGGTGTCTTCTTCTCTCTTATGGTCCCGTTTATTAGTATTATTACCAACACAGGACAGTCCTGAAGATGCTAAGTGAAAATCATCTTCAGTTCTTCCTTCTGCCACCCTCTCCAAACCATACAGCACAGGAGGTCTGCTATCCTTCTCTCCTAAACCACTCTGATAACTCATCTCCACCCACTGAAGATGCAAATCTTTTAAAAGGCTATACATACACAGATCAGGCGTAACAGTACGACCACAAAAAAACAGCCCTGACCCATCAAGGCGTGAACTCCACTAGACCCTTTAAGGTGTGCTGTGGTATCTGGTGCCAAGATCTTAGCAACAGATCCTTCACGTCTTGTAAATTGTCTTGTAAGCATCCCACAAATGCTTGATTGGATTGAGATATGGGGAAAGTCAAAATCTCAAACCATTCCTGAACCATTTCTTTGCTTTGTGCGTTATCCTGGTGAAAGACCCGACTGGTCTGCAGTAGGTCATCTGTTGGAGTGAACCACTTCACTCCCCACATGGATCAGAGAAGGCTCTCTGATCCATGTGGGGAGTGAAGTGGTTGCCCATAAACCTGTTGTTGGTTCACCACTGTTCCTTCCTTGGACCGCTTTTGATCGATACTAACCACTGCAGACCAGTAACACCCCACAAGAGCTGCAGTACAGCTGCAGTAATTTGGTATATACTATTGGTATAGTTTTTTCCATAATCACAGTAATATATATTATTTTGATTTTTATTCTCTGTCATCATTCACCTGCTGAATTCTCACTGGGTTGTGTTGACATTTAAATGGTCCGTTGACCCACTTTCAGGCATTTTTTTTTTCTCATTGTGGAAGGAAAATGGCCTGAAAGTGGGTTGACACGCCTTTATGCAAAAATAGATATCTGAAAGGTATTTAGTATGTGAAGTTAAAATGAACTGAAATCGTTCAATTCTGTACCCTCAAACTTTGGACCATAAAATGTTTTTTATGGAAACTGAATCTGGTTGATTGATGATGAACTCGGGTCTTGAAAATTAAAACAAAATGCACATATTAACAAAAATATTTTCTGATTTATAATTAGAGTACCATCTGTAAATTGACTTTCTGCTGATATTTTTGTTTCTGTGGTACAAATTGTCATATTTGCTCAACCCAGAATGAAAGTTGAATTTTTCTGACTAAGAAATTCTTATTAAAAAGGCTTCCACGTGCTTTATTTTGTAGTGTTGTGAAATTCATCTATATATCATTTAGAAATTGTCACTAATTATCTTTTGTAATTTGAAGGTTTTATTAGTGTGTGTTCAAATATGGGACTTTGCTGGAGTGCTGGAACTTCTTTTTCATATTTTAACTAACCAATACTCAGATAAATCTTAATGTATTTGTCCCAAATTACAGATGCTGATTCATTTGGATGATAATAAAGTCCAGTGAAAAGTTCATGTTTTTATTTCTAGTAGTTTTTAAGATATTCACGTTCAAACACTGGAGCAGATTTCACTGAGCAACAAAACATTAGTTTGATTTGAAATTAAGTGAGCCTCCTGCTAAAATGTTTAATGATTTATAGTTATTAAAACAGCTACAAACATGGCTTATGAATGGTTGGATCAGCATTATCCCTCATTGTGATTAAGCTCAATACATTCAAAACATCAGCTGTGCTTTTCCCACTACACTTCAAACCAGCAGACTCTCAGTATGATGGATTTGATCTGTTTTGTCATTATATTTTTGACACAGATACTAAACGTGCCCATTATCTGTTCAGTTCACTCTTCAGCAATCAGTAAGTGAGACAAGTGTTGAGCGCGCTCCAGCTCCAGAGAAAGACTCACCTGGCTGTAATTTGAGCTCATCAGAGGAGCCATGATGAGGCCCTAAGAGAGAAGCGAGTGTAACGGTCTGTTTCTGCACACTGATCAAAAGATTGCGCTGAAACATTGGGACTTTAAACAAAATACAGATTACAGTCACAAAGCAGATCAATATATTCTTTAAACTTCAAGCTTTAAAGCCACTTTGCCTTTAAGCAGCATTTATTTGTCATCAAAGTGTGACTGATCCCAATTAAGCTTGATTAAGCAGCACACCTGTCTTCAGTTATGCATCCTCTGGGGGCTATAAAGGCTCTCCAAAGAGGATGGCCAGATCCATTTGCTAGAAAACAACAGTTTCTGAAGCTCTGCAGCGCTCTTGATTACGTTTTGCAACGCCATCTCCAACCATGGGAAAAGAGAAGACTCATGTTAACGTGGTGATTATCGGCCACGTTGACAGTGGGAAATCCACCACCACCGGACACCTGGTCTACAAGTGTGGAGGAATTGATCAAAGGAGGCTGGAGAAATTTGAGAAGGCTGCGAATGAAGTGAGTAAAAACAAAAACAATTTCTGCAAAACTTCCAACTTTTCAAGTGTTAAACTCATTCTGCTTGACTTCCAGATGGGGAAGAGCTCCTTTAAATTTGCCTGGGTGCTGGACAAGCTGAAAGCTGAGCGGGAGCGAGGAATCACCATCGACATCACGCTGCTGAAGTTCAACACCCAGAAATACATCATGACTGTAATTGATGCTCCGGGCCACCGTGACTTCATCAAAAACATGATAACTGGGACGTCACAGGTAGGAAGTACACGCGTGCTTGAATATCTGTTGCTATGAATGCTGCCTTTTCCTAAAGCTCATATCATTTCAGGCTGACGTTGCCCTCCTGGTGGTCTCTGCAGCCAAAGGAGAGTATGAGGCCGGCGTGTCTCGGAGTGGTCAGACCAGAGAACATGCCTTGCTGGCTTATACTCTAGGTGTGAAGCAAATCATAGTCTGTGTGAACAAGATGGACCTGACCGAGCCACCTTACAGCCAGAGCCGCTTCGAGGAAGTGATGCGAGGGGTGAGCGGCTTCCTCAGGAAGATTGGCTACGACACCACGGCTGTGCCCTTCGTTCCAGTTTCAGGCTGGACTGGGGAGAACATGATCACCGCATCTCAAAGGGTAATGATGTTTTCAGGCTTTTTTTCCCCCTTTAAACCCCAGAAGTTGGCTTGCAATGCTGTAAAAGTGACGTCTGCACAGATGCCGTGGTTTCAAGGCTGGAAGGTGAGACGAAGGGAAGGGAATAAAAGTGGGAAGACGCTGCTTGAAGTCCTGGACTCTATTCAGCCACCTGTGCGCACAGTCAACAAGCCACTACGATTACCTCTGCAGGATGTCTACAAAATTGGAGGTGATGTCAATCGCTGCTTTTGATCCCATTTTCTCGATTTCTTGGTCTGAGCTCAATTACAGCTTCATTTATGAAAAATGCAGTAGAGGAAGTACAGTATTGTTTTTGGAGTAGAAAATGTCTGTAAACATGCTGAAATTGAAGTGTTTCTTACTCCTCCAGGAGTTGGGACGGTGCCAGTGGGTAAAATTGAAACTGGTGTCCTGAAGCCTGGCATGATGCTGACGTTCTCCCCTGCCAAGCTCACTGCAGAGGTCAAGTCTATTGAGATGCACCACCAGGGGCTGGAGACGGCTCTGCCCGGCCACAATGTTGGCTTTAACATCAAGAACGTGTCCGTGAAGAACCTGCGGCGTGGGGACGTGGCTGGGAACGCTCAGCAGGATCCTCCTTCAGATGTTAAAAGCTTTGACGCTCAGGTTGGTTCACTGCAGGAAGAAATTGCCTCACTTTTTTGGTTTGTTTCCACTAAACCTTGCTTTTGTCTTAGGTGATAATCCTGAACCATCCAGGGAAGATCAAAGCAGGCTACTCCCCAGTTCTGGACTGCCACACAGCCCACGTCACCTGCCGTTTCGCTGAGCTGAAGGAGAAGCTCGACCGCCGCACTGGCAAGAAGCTGGAGGACCACCCGCAGATCCTCATGTCTGGAGATGCAGCCACAGTCAAACTGGTCCCCATCAAGCCCATGTGTGTGGAGAGCTTCTTCACATACCCTCCTTTAGGTAAGCACAGATCTCTTCATGCACACAACTCTGCGTGTATGAATCCTCCTGGTTGTGCCCTCGTTTGACTGGCTCTTCTTCACAGGTCGCTTCGCGGCGAGAGACCTGAAGCAGACGGTCGCTGTAGGAGTCATCAAGTCAGTGGAAAAGAACCACGGCTCAAAACTTCACAAAGCTCAAGTTTGTAAATAAGTTTTTGGTTTACCAGAGGTCTGGTAATGCTGCTTCATGGGAAGAGTTTTATTTGATGAAATGTATTTGTGTTGTGACACAAAGCTTATGTTGTCTTTAAAGTGTATAGTATTCCTGTGTTGATAAACCCAGAAGTAGAGTTTGGTTGGTTTGGTTTAAAATTGAATGTCTCAAAATAAAATGGTGTGGAGAACTGGTTTAAGTGTCTTTACTGTTGAACCGTCAACTGCATCTTAATGTACATCTGAAAGAACTTAAACTAAACTCTCCTCAGGGATAGTCTTAAA